CTCCCCCCACACTCACCGCCTGCAAACGACTCCCTGGTCCCCACCACCGTCCGCACCACATTCCCCACCGCTGTCCCCACCACCACCGTCCCCACCACTACTGTCTCCACTGTTCCCACCACCGTCCCCACTGTCCCCATCAGTGCCCCCACCACTGTCGCACTGTCCCCACTGTCCCCACCACTGTTCCCACCACGGTCCCACTCTCTCCACTTCCCCCACGGTCTCCATCAATGTCCCAGTGTCCCCAGTGTCCCACTGTCCCACTGTCCCCGCCGCTGTCCCACCCTTCCCACCACTGTTCCCATTGTCCCCACCACTGTCCTCACTGTACCTCTGTCCCATTGTCCCATTGTCCCACAACCGTCCTCGCCACCGACCTCACCACTGTCCCCACCATCACTGTCCCCACCATCACTGTCCCCACCACTGTCCGACTGTCCCCACTGTATCCGCCACTGTCCTACTGTCCCCATACCACTGTCCCCACCACCACCGTCCCCACCACTGTCCCACAGTTCCCACCACTGTCCCACTGTCCCCACTGTTCCCGCCATTGTCCCCGCTGTCCCCACCGGTGCCCCCACCAGTGTCTCACTGTCCCCACTGTCCCCACCACGGTCCCTGTCTCCCCATTGTCCTCACTGTCCCCACCACTGTCCCACTGTCCCCACTGTTCCCACCACTGTCCCACTGTCCCCGCCGCTGTCGCACTGTGCTGTCCCACTGTCCCCACTGTCCCCCCCCCCACTGCCTCACTGTCCCGACTGTCCCCGCCACTCTCCCCTCTGTACTACTGTCCCACAACCGTCCTCACCACCGCCTTCACCACTGTCCCCACCACTACCGTCCCCACCTCTGTCCCACTGTCCGCACCGCTGTCCCGCTGTCCCCTCACCACTGTCCCCACCACCACCGTCCCCACCACTGTCTCACTGTCCGCACCCCTGTCCCACTGTCCCCACACCACTGTCCCCACCACCACCGTCCCCACCACTGTCCAACTGTCCCGAGGAGCGGGGAATCGTTTGCCGGCGGCGAGAAGGGGGGCGGGGTTTAGAACCGGTAGTGACCCCGCCCCCCTTTTCATGATGGACTGGGGTGGGGGGGAGGGGGGGTTCGAACCGGTAGTGACCCCTCCCGGTGTTCGAAGGGGGGGGGCGACGGGTTGGAAACCCCCAGTGACCCCCCCTAGGTTTTCCGCCAGCAGCGGTAGAACACGCTCTTTCATGCATATATGTCAGCACCGCATCGATAAACATGCCCTAGCGGTCAATCGCGAATTGACAAATCGGATCGGATCGAAACGTGCAACGAATCGAGACGCACCAGCTCAGGGTCGGAATCGAATCGAATCGGCCGCGCCAGAATCGGCGCTCCACATGGCCTGCTTCTTGTCTTGAGTACAATCGTTTTTTGACGCTGCCGGGGTCGGGAGACAATCCCCAGGGGCCAGAAACGCATCGAAAGCCGTCGCTGCGATTTGTTGCACGTCGCCTGGATATGAGGGTGCAGGGGCCTTGTTCGGGCCGGGGACGAACAAAAAAAAAAAGCACGGGCGGATAGCTGGCCCTGGGGAAGGGGAAACAGGTCGTGAGCGCTGGGTGCCAAAACATTGAAAACCAACCACGGAAAAACTGCCAGAGGTCAGGGTACCTGGGCCACCTTACTTCGTGGCTGTCGTCGTGCACTCGCACGGCCCCCGCGGAGAAAGGCAACTCTCCAGTCCTGGGGTGTGCACTGACCCCGATCTCAAGAAAGACCCGGCCGTGGCCACAACATGCCAACCGGAGGCCCAAAAATCAAAAACAAAAAACAAAAAAAAAAACAAAAAAAACGTGCCCTGAAGAATCTCGAACTTAGATCCCCGACCGTCGACGACGACGACGGCGACGGCGACGGCGACGGCGACGGCGACGACGACAACGACGACGGCGTCGTCGCCGCCGTCGCTGCCGCTACCGCCCCAGACATCCGCCTCTGACGTCCTCGCCCCAGCCAATCCGAGGGACAGGAAGGCTCGACCACTTCCCCGGGTGTAGCTTCGCGCCCCGCACACGGTCGCGACGGCCCCAGGGCCAGAAAACTGCCCCCAAGCCCTGAGGTCCGACGCCTCGAAAAAGATCGACATCGCAAGCAATCTCAACCCCAAACCTGGACCCCATCTTTCTTCTGCATCTTCCGAGCCGTCTCGGTCCGTGAGGGCCCCTGGGGCCTGAAACAAAGCAAATCCCCCCTTTGGGAAAATTGCAACGCCAGGATCTCAGGGTCGCCGTCGCCGCCGCCGCCGCCGCCGTCGTCGTCGCCGCCGTCGTCGCCGCCGTCGCCGTCGCCGCCGCCGTCGTCGGCGGCGGAGGCCGGCGGCTGCCCTCGGCGGCGGGCGGCGGGCCTTCCCCGCGCCCTGGCCTCTGGGGGCCGCGGGGGAGCCGCGCCGGCCCCGCTCGGCATGCTCTTGGGCCCCACGGGCGGCTGCGCGGAGGGCAGGCTCGGCGGATCGGCGGCGCGGTGGACCAGCCCCGGATCGGCGGCCCGCCCCTGGGCGAGGGGCGGCAGAGGGGGCCGGCCTGCTCGGCGGCGGGGCTTCTCAGTGGCCCGCGCGGCTTACGGGGAGCCTTCCCGGGATTCTCGGAGGCCACAAGCAGCGTCTCGGAGGGCGCGAGGGCGTGCGAGAGGTCCCGCCGGCCTCTGAGAAGGCCGGCCCCATCTGTATTCCCCCGTGCGCGCCGCCGCAACGATCCGCCAGCATCGAATCGGGAGATCGGATCGCGAAGTCAGAACGCGCGTCGGATCGGGCCGCACCGGCTCGGCGTCGGAATGTGATCGGATCGGCGGCGCCACGGGTGCACTGACGGTGCCGCGCAATATCGGGCCGCAGTGGATCGCCGGGAGGTCGAGGTAATCGGATCGAGCCTGGTGAGCTCGGCACCAGGTCGCATCGGCCGGACCGGAGTGGGCCAGGCGGGCCCCGCTCCGCGCGGGCAGAGGCCGAGTGGGCCGGGAAGGATCGAGGACGACCGTCGTCGAGGATCGAGGATCGGCCATAGCCGGTCGAGAGTCGAGGATCAAAGGCTCGAGGTTAACCTTGGGGGATCGAAGTTCGAGGTCTGGGGCCCATCATGTAAGCTTCGTCGGCGCAGTCGTTCTGCGAGCTCCCTGGGCGTGCTCTCGTCCCGGAGACGCGGGAACGCGAGGGCGGGCCGGGGTGGGCCCCGGGAGGGGCGGAGCGGTGCACGAGCCTCTGGAGCTGAGGTGCGGAGCGGGGGAGCTGCGCGATCTGCTCGCGGTGGTCTCCCGCAAGGCGTGTCGGATGTGGCGCGGGGCTGACGCTTCTGGGCCGAGGCGCCGCACGGGGTCTGAGGGGGGCGGCTTGGATCCTCGTCGCATCTGTCGGCTCGAGGTTCGGGGCTTCCGGGTGGCCCTGGCCCTGGCCCTGGGCCTCCTGGGGGGGCCTGTCGTCGCCATGGCCTCCCCCGAGGTTCTGGCCACACACACACACACACACACACGCCAGGGAAGGCAGGCCCGAGTTGGAGCGAATCGAGAAACTGGATCGCATCGGCAATGGGTCGGATCGCCGGCAAATCTTTCCGAATCGGATCAAAATCGGATCGCCACGCCTGACTTCGGCCGGCCTCCTAAGCACCCGATGTATTGACTCTAACAATCCGCGGTCCACAGAGGTCTCGACCACTTCCACAAGGGTTTCATCCCCTGTCAACTGTTGATGGTCGTGGGGCCTGAAAATGGCCCCAGGACGCCGAAATGGAAGAAAGAACGCCAGGACTGCAAACATCAGTCCGCCCGAAGCCTGGGCCCGGCCGGTGCCGACGAGCCGAGCCGCACCGAATCGCATCGGAACCGCGGCCCCGGCGGGCGAATTGAATCGCATCGCCTCGTGGGCGGCCCTGGCCGGCCGACGGCACGACAGGCGGGCTGGAGAGGGCGCGCGGAGCGGACCGAGCCACGCGAGCATGCCTGTCGGCTGCTCGGCCCTGTGCAGGACATGGGTGAGCAATCAGTCTACCAGCCAGACAGTAAAATATGTGAAACATGAGCCGAGTCCGGAATTGGGAATTCGGAAACATGCCGGAGAGGGCGCGCGCGGGAGCAAAAAAAAAACACGCACCGCACGCGTGGCTGGCCAGGTTTTGCGGATCATTTGGATCATCGCGGGCGTCGGCCCGAGTGCCCGAGTGCCCGTCGTGCGTATGTGGGCTCAGCATCGCATCATCATATCATGGCAACGCAAAGCGTAGCAAGATATCATCAGATCATAGCGCAGCATAGTGTGAATACCAAATCATAAGACTGCGCATGACATAGCATAAACTACCATCGCGAAGAGTGCATATAACGTACTATATCATAATACATATATAGTGCAAGCCATGCCATATAATACCACATGTCATATATACTTCAGCGCATATCCTAACATAGTGCATGTCTGACCATAGCATCGTATCGTATCACATAACATTGCATAACTCCGATGCGTGCCCTGCCGCGCCAAGACAGCGCAAGATCTCCTTACTGTTTGGTTCAAGATCAGACGCAGAGTTGTTTCTTGGATACACGTCCACCAGAAAACGTACACGTACAGGTTTAAGATAATGCCTGGCCCTCGCGAGGGCACGATCACGCTCGCCAGCTTCGGCGACGTGATGTGGGAGCAGGTCGACCTCATCAACGCGGTGCTGCACAACCTTCAAAAACACCAGGTGCGGCTCACAAAGTCGCTCGCGCGGGCCCAGGCCAAGTTGGACGAGGGCGACGACATCGGCGACAAGCTGGACGTCCACAACAAGAAATGGCAGCGGAGGAAAAACGTGTTGGTCCTCGAGTACCACAGCAAGAAGGTGTCCGACATGATCGCGCACGCGCTCCAGATGAGGGGATGATGCAGGAGCGGAGCCCGATGACGTGGGACCCACCAATCTTAAAGAATCTTAGCACTGGCAAGCGAGTCGATTGGGTCGCCGACGAGTGACCCGCGCTCCATGCCAGGCACCATGAGCGGCCCACCGTCCAAGCCAGGCACAATGGAGACCAACGGGGAGGAGTGCGAGACGCCTGAACCCGATCAGCAAAGGACTTGGCCAAACCAGACCGACGAGGAGGAGTGGAAGCAGGCGGGCTGGATCTCTCCTGAAACCTAGAGCAAGTTCAAACCCGACGGCGAGAAGACGTGGACCCCATTCGGATGGATCCAGCAGGAGCCGACGAAGGAGGATGCGACGGTCACGAAGGAGAAGCCGAGCCGCCAGCAGAAGTGCCAGAAGACGTTCGAGCGCGACGACGAGGAGACCGACTTCGAGCTCTTGCATGAGGTCTGAGACCAAGCGTGATGGTGCCAAGTAGGTGTGCGCCCTGGGGCCCGTTCGGTCAGGATACGGTTCTGGATGATGCGCGGCATGGCCGCCCGAACACTGCGCAGCGCTACTTAAAATAAGATTGTATGATATGATGGGCTATGCTATTTGTTGTGATCTGCGATGCTACGTTACGCTGTGCAGCGCCAAGCTGTGCTATGCTATGCTATCATGCTTGTTCTGATGTTCGATGCTATGTTATGCTGTGCAGCGCTATGCTATAGGATGACACGCCATGCTATCCCATGCTATGCTATGGTGCGCAGCGCAATGCTATGCTATAATGTGATATTCGATATGACCTGCAATGCTATGTTGTGTAGAGCAACGATATGCTGTGATGTGCAATTATATGCTATGCTATGCTATGCTGTTTGGTGTGCAATGCTATGCAATACCATGCTACTAGCCGGTGCTATTGATCTCCCACCGCAACCCCATCGACATTATGGCCCTAGCCCAGACAGCAGGTCACCTCGGGGGCCTCGGGCTTGTGGCGGGGCTGGTGAGCCCAGGAGGCAGCGCCTTCTTCCCGAGGGGCAGATGCCCCCCAAGGGTAATAAGAAGGCCGCCAAACCCAAGTCCAATGCCAGGCCCGATTTCATCCCCGAGAAGCGCGCGAGGGGGCCCGCCGCCGACGTCAACGCCACCTACAACTCAGAGCTGCTCGCAGCTGCCGCGACCGTCAAGGCGCGCCCAATCTCCCAGGACTTGGCGACGTCGACGGGGCCGCAGTTCGACGTTGAGCAGCGCAAGAAGGACATGGAGGCGAAGGGCGTTCACCGGTTCGATGGGAACGCCTTCCTCGCCGTGATCAAGTGCTACGACGACGCGCCGATTAACCGAAAGCGGGTCAACGACTGGCAGACGAAGCACTACGACTCCGCGACAGGGCATCTCCCCCCCCCCAGTATGAACTACACGCTCAAGATCGCCACTTTGCCGCAAGACGGCGGGTTAGAGGATGTGAACAAGTTCGGCAAGTTCGCACTGGTGTCCCCGCCAGAGCCGCTGGATGCCTTGGCGTTCCGCGTGGCCAATGCGATCAGTGATGGCGACGACGACGCCCCCCTCGCCATGTGGCGCGAGGCGATCCTGACGGCGCCCCTGATGATCATGACTGTGGAGTCGGCTGCCAAAGTCGATTGGAAGCGCATCGACGAACGGGAGTCGTTCGGTCGCTCATTCGAGATGCTGTGCCGCACGGCGCTGGGCAGGGCGTTCGAGGTCCTGGACATCATCGCGAAGGAAGAGGACTCGCAGAAACGAGAGCTCAGCCCGAATGAGGTCTAGGACATGTGGAAGTCCAACGTGGGGAAAGCAAGATGGGCGATCAAGTCACCAAGTCCTGCATCGACACGCTGCTGGAGTGCAAGAAGCGAATTTTCAGCGACGCCGCCGCTGCGACTGCGAAGCTGCTCCAGGCGGACGAGACGCACGGTATCAAGGGCCCGTTCGATTCACTCTACAAGATCGAGGTGTTGGCAACAAAAGTTGGCACTAAGGAGACCCCCGTCGCCGCGTCCGAGAAGCTGAATTGGATGATCGACTACGTTCTCGATCGGGTCTCGGGCGAATTCATGAGCGCGTCCGAGTTCGCCGTGAACAGTCTCAGCGGCAAAGGTGCCTTGGCAACAAGGGGTTGCTGGACTTGGCGTTGTTGAAGATGGAGCTGCGCGAGTATTCGCTCTACTCGGTTTTGGATTCGATTCCTGGCGACTCCCGCTCGAAGGATCTGATTCGCGAACACGGCAGGGGCTTCAAAGAGATCAGGGCGTGCTTCGGGTACCCGAACGACGCCGGCGCGAAGAAGAACCCGTGGGAATCTCTCATGGACCTGGGCCTCCAGAACTACATCGACGTGCACAGGAAGATGGTGTTCAACGAGGACTACGACAGCAGCCTGAAGCACTCGTTGAGGGCGTCCCGATCTGCAAAAGAGGCGCTGGAGGAACGCGTTCTCAAAACTAAGACGGACGAGATCAACGACCTGATCAAGAATGCCGACGCGCCCATCGGTGGCGGCGGCGCCGCTGCCAGCCAGGAGGTGCAATTCGAACGCCCTGCTCTTCTCCATCCGCGTCGTCCTGCCCCTGCCCCCCCCTTCGCCACCGGGGCCCGGGGGGGGGGCAAACGGGGGTCTGCGGTTCAGGCAGGAATGGAAAAATGGAACGGCGCTCAAAACTTGGTTGCCCCAAGGCACCCGCGGGGCATCGCAATGGAACCGTTCGGGAACGATGATCCTTCCGCGAGGTTTGTGTTCGGGGCTTCGCGGGCGCTCAAGGTTGACGGACGTTCTGGGCGGCATGGTTCGGCGACGGGCGGGGGGGGCTGATGCGGGACCTCCTCTAGCCCGCTAGGATCACGACGACGACGCCAATGGCGACCTGAAATTTGCCACCGCGATGAACGTCAGTGATGCCCAGAACCGTGATGTTGATGTGGACCTAAGGGCCACACGGTCGAACACTCTGACTGAACAATCCCCCGCGTCGCCCCGAGCACACGGTGGACAAAAGCAAAAATCAATCCAGCGGAAAAAGCAAAACAATCGAGGGCCGACGCAACGGCCGATCGCGAAAAAATCACGAACCAAAAAAAACATCCTCTTGTTCATGCCACGCGGCGCATCAGTAGCCGTAGCGTCCGCTCGCGTTCTGGCGTTTGAAGGTTCGGCCGTCGTCGCAGCGGCTCTCTTGAAACCCTGGCACTCCAAGCGAAGAGGCCCCTGGAACGCGAACCAAAACACGATCGGAACCGCAAGGAAGACGACAGGTCGGTGGAACGTCCCGCGCGCGGATCGCGCCCAAAAGGGCGATCCAGCAAGAGCCCCAATAATCATGTTTGGATGCCGCATCGACTCAAATCGCCACGCCCCTCACGCTGATCTAGCACACAAAAAACGCCGACTGCAACCATTATGATGCACACCTGGGACGTCCGAGCGAGAAGTCGGCACCCCTCACGCGGATGACGCTGCAGAGGGAGACCCAGCCGCGGCACTGTGCTTCTATGTGATAAAGGACGGAGGGGGATGTGTTTGGAGGAGAAAACAGGAGTGCTAATGTGGAAAGAACAATGTGGAGACTTGTGGGCGGTCCCATTGGGGGCTTCGGTGGAGCTCCCTATGGGGCCAAGGAGCGCTGTACTGGGTGGGTGACAATGCCAAATCGGGTGTGGGGGACGCATGCGGGCGGCCCCACTGGGGGTTTCGGTGGAGCTCCCTATGGGGCCACGATGCGCTGCACTGGGTGGGTGACAATGCCAAGTTGGGTGTGGGGGACGCATGCGGGCGGTCCCACTGGGGGCTTCGGTGGGGCTCCCTATGGGGCCACGAAGCGCTGCACTGGGTTGGTGATAGTGCCAAATTGAGTGTGGGGGACGCATGCGGGCGGTCCCACTGGGGGGCTCGGTGGAGCTCCCTACGGGGCCACGGAACATTATACTGGTTGGGTGACAGTGCCAAATTTGGTGTGGGGGACGCATACGGGCGGCCCCACTGGGGGCTTCGGTGGAGCTCCCTATGGGGCCACGAAGCGCTGTACTGGATGGGTGACAATGCCAAATTGGGCGTGGGGGACGCACGCGGGCGGTCCCATTGGGGGTTTCGGTGGAGCTCCCAATGGGGCCAAGGAGCGCTGTACTGGGTGGGTGACAATGCCAAGTTGGGTGTGGGGGACGCATGCGGGCGGCCCCACTGGGGGCTTCGGTGGAGCTCCCTATGGGGCCACGAAGCGCTGCACTGGGTGGGTGACAATGCCAAGTTGGGTGTGGGGGACGCATGCGGGCGGTCCCACTGGGGGCTTCGGTGGGGCTCCCTATGGGGCCACGAAGCGCTGCACTGGGTTGGTGATAGTGCCAAATTGAGTGTGGGGGACGCATGCGGGCGGTCCCACTGGGGGCCTCGGTGGAGCTCCCTACGGGGCCACGGAACATTATACTGGTTGGGTGAAAATGCCAAATTTGGTGGGGGACGCATGCGGGCGGCCCCACTGGGGGCTTCGGTGGAGCTCCCTATGGGGCCACGAAGCGCTGTACTGGATGGGTGACAATGCCAAATTGGGCGTGGGAGACGCACGCGGGCGGTCCCATTGGGGGCTTCGGTGGAGCTCCCAATGGGGCCAAGGAGCGCTGTACTGGGTGGGTGACAATGCCAAATCGGGTGTGGGGGACGCATGCGGGCGGCCCCACCGGGGGCTTCGGTGGAGCTCCCTATGGGGCCACGAAGCGCTGCACTGGGTGGGTGACAATGCCAAGTTGGGTGTGGGGGACGCATGCGGGCGGTCCCACTGGGGGCTTCGGTGGGGCTCCCTATGGGGCCACGAAGCGCTGCACTGGGTTGGTGGTAGTGCCAAATTGAGTGTGGGGGACGCATGCGGGCGGTCCCACTGGGGGCCTCGGTGGAGCTCCCTACGGGGCCGCGGAACATTATACTGGTTGGGTGAAAATGCCAAATTTGGTGTGGGGGACGCATACGGGCGGCCCCACTGGGGGCTTCGGTGGAGCTCCCTACGGGGCCACGAAGCGCTGTACTGGATGGGTGACAATGCCAAATTGGGCGTGGGGGGCGCATGCGGGCGGCCCCACTGGGTGCTCCGGTGGAGCTCCCTATGGGGCCACGAAACGCTGTGCTGGGTGGGTGACAATGCCAAATCGGGTGTGGGGGGGCGCATGCGGGCGGTCCCACTGGGGGCTTCGGTGGAGCTCCCTACGGGGCCACGAGGCGCTGTACTGGGTGGGTGAAAATGCCTAATTGGGCGTGGGGGGCGCATGCGGGCGGTGGCACTGGCGCCTTCGGCGCAGCTCCCTATGGGGCCACGAAGTGTGTGAGGGGTGTGCCAAATTGGCGGGCGTGGGGGACGCGCGCGGGCGGCGCAGAGGAGGAGGAGGGGGAAGAGGAGGAGGAGAGGAACGCTGGGACCGTCTCTTCAAAACGAAGACCCAACACCACATAATGGTTGGGACAAATCCAGCACGTTGCTACCCCAGGACGGTAGCAAAGGGAAGTTGTTGGTTCGTGTATCTGTGAATTCCCATGAATTCGAAAACCATCAATTCACGATCAACTGCGTCGACTTCGATGGAACCGACTCGTTCGCGATCAGGGACGACGCGCAAAAGGCCATAGAACGATGGGCGACTCCGAGGTTTCGAATTCCGGACTGCGGCGCCAGGTTTTACCAGGCCAAGAAGAAGACCACCCAAGCTGACGACGATGCAAAACAGGCCCTCTGCGAGTCAATCATGGGGGCCGCCGCGGGCGCGGCGAGCGACGAGTTCAGAGCGATGCGGCTTGTTAGCGGGGCCGCCACGAGCGACTTCGTCAACGAGACCCTACTGCCGAACGTCATCTTGCACGGCGAAGACCCCGCCCGTGCCAGCGGCAGGTCTCTGAAGGCATGGCAGCGCGAACCGTGCTTGAACGACGTCTTTGACGCGTTCGTCTTGGGGCCCGACAGCGCCCCAAAACTGATCGAGAACGCCCCGGATATTTCGAGGGAGTTTTCGCAGCGAGCGCAGGCCATGGAGTCCAACGAGATCGCGGGCAAGCGCATCAACAACACGAAGAGCGTGAAGCCTCGTTTCAACAGTGCCCAAGCACCGCTCTCACGGAGCATCTTCTACATGGACGCGATCATCGCCCTTGCCGTTGAACTGTCAGCAAATCGCTCTGGCGAGCCTACGGGGCTTTCCCAGCAGCTCTTGCCCAACACCAGCGAGGGGAAACTGGCCCAGGCAGCCATGATGGCCGACGCAGGAGACGAATCAGCACAAGTGACGAGGCAGCGGGGATGACAAACAACCCGCGTAGCGGAGGAAAGGAGGGCAAAGGAATGATTAGGGGGAGGGGGGGGAGGAGGAGGAGGAGGAGGAGGAGGAGGAGGAGGAGGAGAAGGAGGGGGGAGGAGCAGGAGGAGGAGGAGGAGGAGGAGGAGGAGGCGGAGGAGGGGGATGAGGAGGAGGAGGAGAAGGAGGAGGGGGGAGGGAGGAGGAGGAGATAGGGCGGATGACGGAGGAATAGGGAGGGAGGGAGGGGGGGGAAGGGCAAGGGGGAAGGGGGGGGGGAGGGGGGATATGCGGAGGAAGATGGATGAATAGGTTTGCCATGCCAGCGAGCCAGGCATTTTGATATTGGGAACATGTGCCAATTGGCACCCATGCCGAGCGACCTCCACCATTTCGCTGAGAGTAGCAATTACCTTTTTCTTCCGCACCCCTGCGGGCTGCATGGGGGGCGGATGCGCCGCCGACATGATCGACGCGTTGCAGAAACCCAGAGTTGTTTTCATCGG